GGTAGCACAGATATTATTAGGATGTCGTCGACGTACCGCTGTGCAGTAAGTGTACCTCTAATGACGACCAAAGGGGTCCGGCTGTCAAAGGAAATGGCACCCCAGATCATAATGCCTTGTTGAGGGCCGGTGTGGCGTGCAATAGTGAAGTCAGGATCCTCCCTCTGCGTCTCCAAACACGTCCTCGATGATCGTCAGGACACAGTTGGAAGCGGGATTCGTCGCTAAAGACTATACGTCCCCAGTCGGCATCATTCCAGCCTGATCGAGCCAAAACATTCATGCATGCGAAATTTCAAAGCAATAGGATGATTGCTTCTTGGTTCGTCGATTTTTTTGTTATAGAGCAGTGCTTAATGTGGTACGCGTACCCCCAGGGGTACGGGAACAGTTTAGCTGGGGTACGCGTTCTTAAGCGAAATATCTTGCAACAAACGAAAATTTCAACATTTTTTTATTTAAAAACAAAGCCAGCCATGATAATTTACGATTACGTATTTTTCAATTAGTTATTTTTAGAGTTAACAGTTAATAGTTAGTGTCGTCAACAGCCAGTTGTGATTTTTAACTTTCGTTCAATTTTCTATAGCAAAAAATGCATTCATTTTTTTTTTCCTTAGAGGTACACAGCATTACGAAAAATTTAGAAAGGGTACACAAAAGTCATAAGTTTGGGAAACACTTTTATAGAGTGTATTTAGAATTAAAAAAAATTGTTTTGAAAGTAGGATTTAAACATACTAAAAAAAAAATTTCTTCTAATATTAACATTGTTATAGTGTAGATTAACTTCCCGATTTGAATACATTCTGTCTTTAATTTTTGCATCAGTAGATTCGATGCGTTAAATTTTTATTCTTGCAAACGATGAAAAACGAATTCATCCGCAGAATAGATTTTCACCTTCACGAAAGAAAGAAAAAAAAATTTTTTTTAATGACACAAATTCCAAACTCATTCGAAATAAACAAATAAGAAATGCAAATCAAACACCAAAAACATTTTGATTCGAGAAAATAAGAAAGAATTTTTTTTCTTCCATTCGTTCAAAGCAATTTATTGACAACAAAGTTCAAAAGTATTCGAATAAAAAACCAAAAAAAAAAAATAATAATAATATAATTATGAAACATTTTTTTAATGATTATTCAAAATTGCTCTCTTTCTCTCCAAGACGTATAAAGCGTTTCATTATTTTATTTTTTTATTAAACTTTCATAAATAATTTCTTGATTGTCGGTGGTTATGTTTCAGGAAGAAGACGCCTTACAGTTTAAAACTATCCATCATGTTACGATCTTTGCTCCCCTTTCTCGCTTATTAAGGCATGAGCATTTGAAAGAAAAAAGAGAGATAGTTTCTGAGAAATCCTTGGAAAAAAAATAATAATAATCAAATAATCTTTGCCTGCCACACGCCCTGAATTAAATGTTCATTTCTGATATCGCCTGCCAGATACACCTTTGTGTCAGAGACTTTAATAGCTTTACCGTCTTTAAGATAATGAGATGAGCGTTAGATGTATGACGTAGCTGAAAGATCCGTCGACTATCCCTCGGCATGACTGAACAGAAATATTTTATATTTTAGTAGTTACAGATAATAATGCTTCCTGAGTATAAGATCACCTACTTTATTTATCTCCCTTGATATCATGATTTTATAAACCGTATAGATAAAAACCGTTTCCTATTATAAAGCTATCATTAAATCTTTGTTCCTTCTTACTGTTTATATTATTTTATGTATGCATTCAAATACGGATTCATTTCATTACGATAATTAACAAAATGCTCTAACTGAAAATGTATAATAATTATATATTTTACAAACGAAAACATTTTTTAATCGTCTTTTAAGAAAAAAAAGAAGAAAAAACAATGATGAATAATGAGGGGCAGAGGGAACAGTCCTTTAGAGCAGTGTTCCCCAACCCCCGGTCCGCGGACCAGTACCGGTCCGTGAATCAAATGGTACCGGGCCGCCCATTTCATTGAAACTGAATTTAAATTCCTAGGTTTATACCCCAAATTAAAAATATCTGTTTTCCATTAAAATTTTATTTATTTAAGAGAAAGGGGCCCCCGAAGGTAGTGACATAAATTTTTTAATGTATCATTGTCTCCGATTACCCCCAGATGGAACCGCCTCATTGCAAAGAAGCAAGCTCAGGGTTCTCATTAAATTTAACGTTCTACTAAGTTAAAATGTTAAATCACTTTATATATATTTTTTGGTGTAACTGTATTTTATTGAAGGCATTTTTAAATACAATCAAATTAAAATTAATAAATCAAAATAATCTAAAATATAAGCAATCAACGTCCTCCCCCCCCCTTTCCAGTGGGCCGCGATGATAAAAAGGTTGGGGACCACTGCTTTAGAGTATATGTATTAAACAAATGTTGCGCAATTAATTAAATAATAATAATAAATTTTGTTTTTGCTAAAGTAAGTCAAAAGTCCTATTATTTGAAGTATAAAAGAGACTAATTCTTAATTTTTTGGAATAGATATAGAAATGATTCGATTTCTTTCATGTATTCGTACTATTATTTCCACTTATAAATGAAATCTATTATCTTTTTCACCGAAATGTCTTGCTTTTCTGATTCGCGCTCTATATGCATAGTATTATAATGCTGTTCTGCAAATTTCTCCCCTTGTTCCGATAAACAGTTATTTTAAATTAATTGTTTTAAATCGTCTGCCAGCTCTTGTGAAAATAATAACTGCAACTCTGGCTGGTTGCTAGGCAACCCAAACGACTTTTTTTTTTGTTATTAATGTTTGTAAATAGTCTGTGTATGTCTGTGGATTTTCGGAATTTCATAATTCACAATTAAAACAAGGACAAAAAAGA